ACAGAGTTATTTGTAACTTGTACATTAGAAAAAATGATCCCCTGTTGGCAACAATTTCTCATTTTCAACGCTAAATAGACCAGGAGCACAGAGGATCCTTCTAGACGAACTGAAATGGTATAAAATAGGAATCACTGCAGTACAAGAAACTAAATGGTTGGGAAAAGGTATCCGGGACACTAAAACACACACTATACTGTATAGCGGTAAAGATGAAGGAAATAAAGAATTTGGAGTAGCCTTTATCGTAGAAAATAAAATGAAGCACATGATAACAGACTTTCAAGCCATCAATGAAAGAATCTGCAAGCTTATAATAAAAACGCATTTCTTTAACATAACACAACATAACTAATAGAAGTCAAGTTGACGTCATATATACTGACTTTACGAAGGCATCCGACAGAATTCACCACGGCGTATTACTTTCTTAATTGTGTCTCTTTGGTCTTTCTGAGGATGCCGTGACTTTTATGAGGTCTTACTTGTCAAATAGAACGCAGTTTGTTGCTTATAATGGTTACAAATCGGAAAAGTAGCTAGCTTCTTCAGGGGTTCCACAAGGTTCCAATCTAGGTCCATTATTGTCTTGTTATTTATTAACGATCTGTGTGAATCAATTTCTGCACCATGTTTATGCTATGCCGATGATTTAAAGATTTATTCATTGATAAGCGACCTTAATGATTGTCATTTTCTGCAGAGTGAACTTGAATCTTAATGCCAATAATTGCAAAGTAGTTAGTTATTCTAGAAAACAGTCTAATATATACCATCCTTATATTATCGATGGCAATGAATTTGAACGTTTAAATAAAGTTAAAGACCTTGGAGTTACATTTGATTAGAAACTCACCTTTGTTGAACATGTTAATTTAAAGGTTAAAGAAGCACTTAAATCTTATGGATTCATAATTAGAAATAATCGAAATCTCACTAATACTAAGACAATTACATTACTTTATTACACTTTTGTACGATGTAAACTGGAATATGCTTCTGTCATTTGGTCACCTTTTTATGATAAACACATCCAAATTATAGAGCACATGCAGCGTAAATTTTTAAAATTTTTGTCTTTCAAAATTAACGGCATATATCCCAGGAGGGGCATCAGCAATAGCGAGTTGTGTAGCGGTTTGGACGTAGTATCATTAGAATCTAGACGAATTAATGCCTCCCTGATATTCCTGTACAAGCTACTACATAATCTCATTGACTGCCCTCATATTCTTCGACAAATAAATTTTAACGTTCCATCTTATCCAGTGAGAGATTCAATTACGTTCAGAAATACACAAGCTAGAACTAATCTTATGTTAAATTCTCCTCTATTTCTCATGTGCAACTATTATAATTCCTTAAGTGCTTACTGCGATATATTTCACTGCAGTTTAAAGCAGCTTACTAGGATAGCTGAGATCTACCTATGTGATTAAGTAGTTTCTTTATGTTAAGGTAAAATACTCGAAAAATGTGTTATTTAGTTAGTACCTATGAATTATGAATATTTCATTTAACTTTAGTATTGTATTTTGTCCTATAAATGGATTCTGTTGGACAATAAACGCTATTATTATTATAACCCTTATAATAATATGTGATAATAATGTAAAAAATTTATTGCTTGTCAGGGCAAAAATTCTCTATTATCCATACCTCATAAACTACTAGTATTATTATTTAAACACTTATTGATACCATATGACTGTGAACTCTGGGGCTGTGCCAAGTCAAAGAAAATCCAAATCATCTTATAATATAAAATATAGTATTAAATAACTTTTTTAATGATCAATAGTAGGTAGATTAGAAACGTTGACCTCCACAAAATGATCAAGATGAAAAAGCTCCTAGAATATGTTCTATTTAGTATTTTAATATGAAACAAGAACCGATTTTTTTTCTTAATATGCCCTCTCTATTACTAAAAGTTGGCTATAACTACAGCAAATTGCTCTCTATCTTTAGCTGTTCTTAGTCTACTGTCTACTGTCTTTGTTCTGGTTCTGATCCACTGGTTACGTTTTCTATCTTTAAGTGATATACCCAACATTTGTCTCTTCATCGCTCTTTGTGCCTCCCTTGTCTTTTGTCCATGTCTGTGCTCCGTAGATGAGCACCGGTATTATACAGGAGTTATATACCTTGCTTCGTAAGTATAGAGGGATTGTTTGATTTTTTAGAACGTAAGATAGTTTGCCGAACGCTGCCCATCCCATTCTCACTCGTCTCGATATTTCGGCTGTTTGATTTTCTCTGTTAGCTCTGATTGCTTGTCCTAGACAGATATACTCATTTACCTGTTCTATTTTTTCTGTTTGTATTTTTATTGCCTCTTGGTCTTCCGTGTTTGTCATACTTTTGTTTTGTTGAAGTTAATTTTTACGCCTTTTTGCAGTGATTTTTCATGAAGTTCATTCAGCATTAATTCCAGTTCTTGTGGTTCCGAGGAGATCAGGAGTATATCATCCGCATATCTAAGGTGATTTAGGTATTTTCCGTTAATACATATTCCTCTGTTTTTCCAATCTGTTGATTTTATTATGTCTTCGAAGGTCAAGGTAAACAGTTTAGGTGAAATTATATCGCCTTGTCGGACTCCTCGTTTAAATTTTATATTATCCGTAATTAATTTGTCGTCCAGAATTACGGTCATGGTTGCGTTTTGGTAAATATCATGTATCAATTGTCGGTATCTTGAATCTATTCTACTATTGACCAGAGCTTCTTCAACCGCCCAGTGTTCAATGCTGTCGAAAGCCTTTTCTTAATCTACGAATGCTAAGTACAGCGGAAGGTTGTATTTATTGGTTTTCTCAATTACGATTTTAAGCGCATGTAGATGATCGATTGTGCTGTATCCTTTCCTGAATCCGGCCTGTTCCACTGGTTGGTAGTTATCAAGTTTATAGGTTAGTCGGTTGTTTATTATTCTTGTGAAGGTTTTAGATAGTTGTGACAAAAGGGAAATAGGACGGTAGTTGTTTAGGTCTGTTCGGTCTCCTTTCTTATGTATTAAGATTGTGTTGGCATTTCTCCATTGTTTAGGTATTTTACCTTCAAACCGACATTTGTTGAACAGTATTTTTAGCATTTTTTTTATCGTGTCTCCTCCTTCTTTCAGCAGTTCCGCCAGTATTTTGTCCTCACCGGCCGCTTTATTTTTTTTCATGTCGTTTATGGAATTTTAGATTTCATCTTCAGTTATTTCTGGTAATACCTCTGAGCCAACATTTTGTATTTTCCTCGAGAGATTCTGTTTAGATGATAGTGGTGGGTCATTTTTAGAACTGTATAGGTCTGTGTAATATTTTTCGGTGATTTTTACTATTTTTCCTAGATCTCTTTCTTCATTGTTCTCAGCTTTAAGCATGATTAGTTTTTTTTCCTATATTTGTCTTCATTGTTTTTAAACTTTTGTTCTCTATGATTTTCTTAATGCAATCTTCTTGGTATTTCTTTAAATCTTCCTGTATCTGTTTTCTTATGGTTTTGTTTAGTTCGGTAAACTCCACTGTATTTCTTTTGTTATCATTCAGGAGTTGTCGTCGTTTTTTTAGCATATCTTGTGATTTAGCGCTAATTTTTTGTTGTTTTCGTTTTGATTTATTAGCAATCTTCAGGCCTGCTTCTAGTAGTTCTGTTGTTATTTTATCGTTTAATTCGTCTAGTTGCAAACCCTTTAGGTGTGATATGTCACTTCTTTTTAGCTGGTTTATGTATTGTTCTTTGCGTTCTTTAAGAAGTTCTGTATCTATCTCTTTTTTATATGGTTTAAATTTTTGTCTGTCTGTTGTGACGTTAATTTTGATTTTGGCTCTAACAATTATGTGATCACTTCCTACGGAAATCATGTTTATGACCGTAACGTCTTGTACTATGTTCTTTTCTTTGGATAGGATGTAATCAATCTCATTTTTTGTCCAACCATTGGGTGCGATCCGCGTCCATTTTCTCTGTGGGTTTTTATTGAAAAAGGTATTCATCGCATATAGACCGTTCGTTTCCATATAGTTCATCAATGTTTCTCCTCTTTCGTTTCGTGTTCTATATCCAAAGTTGCCGATTTTATTTTCTGATTCTTCTAGTTTTCTCCCTAATTTGGCATTGAAGTCGCCTATAATGATTGTGTAGGTGCTTTTGTATTTGTTCACTGTTTGTGTCAATGATTCGTAGAATATCTCTACTTCTTCATCCGTATGTGATGATGTAGGGGCGTAAATTTTTATGATCTTTAAACTTATATTTTTATTTATGTCCATTATTAGAGCCGCGATCCTTTCTGAAATTCCAATATATTGTCTAATCTTATGGACATGCTGATTAGAAATAAGAAAACCGACACCAGCTAATGCTTCTTCTTCAGTTCCTTTATTTTTATTTGTGTTTATATTCAGCCCCAAGCCATCTCCCTCTTTAGTAATGACATTCAAAAGTCGTTGTAAACCCTCAGTACTGTCCACATTAATAAGGGGATCGTGAATTTTTTCTTTATATTTGTGAAATCCTTAATCTTTTTGTATGCATTGAAGGAGTCATGCTTTTTTAGTAATTCCATCAGTTTCTCATATCTGCTGTTCATCCATCCTTCTTTGGCTTTCCTGATTTTGTTTCAGATGGTTCTCTGGGTTTTTTTTTTATATTTTACTTCATTGCGGTTTTTGTAAGATCTTACATCCATCAATTTTAGGATTTCTTCTGTCATCCATGTATTCTTTGTTTTTCTTAGAGAAAGAACTGATTAGGAGTTAAAAAATGAATACAATCAATCCGTTTTTGTTTTTAACATTTCCTCTCTCCTGTATACCACTGGCAAATGCCATACTATTATAGGAATGAATGTCAGTAACACTCCAAGAACAACCAAAGATCGATGCTATGATTATTTGGTTGCCTAACTTCGGGCGCCAATACAAAACGTTATCTCCACTTTCTTCATCAGGGTTGCGGCATACGCCGTCTAGCGTGCGGATGACGCACCGTGCTCTCCAGTATTATGAAAATCGTCGCGCGAATATAACGTAAAATTAACATAAAATGTTGTTATTCTAAAAACAGTGTCATAAACATGGCCTTTAAAAACAATTTTGTGATCTTTTTGGTGTTTGTGTGTGAATTGTTTAATGTGATTGTCGGTAAGTTTTCTTTTTTGATAAATTAATTCAAAAACCTGTTTTAAAACTAGTTAATGTTCCGATTAAAGTTTTCAACAAATTGATTGTACTAACAAACTAATATTCCGCAAGGCTAAATAACGCTCTGAAGAAAGAAAGTCTAGTAAATGTTATTACCAGTTTTATAAGATTATTTCATTATTTCTCCAGATTTTCTTCTTGTGGTAAAGATAATAATATACAGTGTGATTCATTTGTTATGCCTTCTTCTGGAGAACACATTTGGCAAATTAAAATTTCTTCTGTAAAATAAAGGCCTATAACTTTTTACTGTTGTATAGTATACTACAGTTATATATTATACTATACAAAGGTTTAAAATAATAATCAAGGTCCTAATATTATTCTAAAGCCATTTTCTTCTTACATTTTAAACTAATTACTATTTAAATGCGAATAAGCCACAATTAAAGGTTAAAGTAAGTCTATTGACATTTCAATTTCCTCTTCAGAAATCGTTTTCCAAATACAAACATTAGTAAATTAAACAAATTTTGTTTTTTTGTTACTTGGTGAAAAATTCTTCTAATAATTTAATTTTGTGACACATTTATATTCACAATTCAGACATACGTTATACATTTTAAAGTAGACGACTTTAAAATGGTATTGCCAATATTGTTGAGTTGCGTTCCTAGGACTACTTTCCTTGTAAGATAGTTCATTCGATTACATGAAATCACCTTTAACTTGAGAATACCCGTCAAGAAAAATCATAGCATGTAAGTAAAATTCTCCTGTTGTTGATTCCATAGTAAATTATGAGGGAAAAACCTTCGAGAGCGTTTTTTAGCGTCGAGACGTCAGAGGAGACGCTAATTACGCTCGAGAAGATAATGCGATTTTATCGTCGTGTGCAATACAACATTTTTTTTCTATAGTAAGACTGCAAATTCAGGTGAAAAATAGAATTTCAAAGAAAATTGTAATTTTTAGCACAATAATCGCAATTGAGTTGCTCCGTTGCTAGGGATATGAATTACTTTGTCAACAAATGTCAAACAAATGTTACGTTTTGGTTTTTGCGGAGAATATTGTTGCGTTTTTCGTACAAAGCGAATAAATACGAAATTGACGGAATGGATATTTCTAATAATGTTAATTGTAAAATCTCAGTTGTTTTTAATCCTTAATATGTTTAAATTTGTAAATTTTATTGAATAAAAAAAAAGTTAAAACATTTTATCTACCCTTGAGGTTTAAGTGATATTTTATCTACTCAAAACAGTTGTTATAACAACACTTTAACATTAGCTATGGAGAAAAACATAAATGATGTATCCTCTATATGTTGTTGACTTACTAATACTGGTATTTTCCTTTTAATAACTTCCTCTTTCAATATGGGTAACCAGATCCTACTACATTCTGCCAAGGAATTTGCGACACAATTTAGCATAATTAGAGCCACTTCTTTAATTTTTCTCTTTTTTACCATCCGTTTCTTTTAGGAATATATTTGAATCATTCCATCGAAGCCTATGTTCATTATTCCATGCGTATCTACATATTTGAGATCTTTGAGATCTTTTACTAATTACCAGATATTATTAATTATGATATTTAAAGTAGACATAGCTATCAAAACGGGCAATAGAATATGCAGTCCATTTAAAAAGACAAAGAGACTACTACAGGGTTGCTCCACATCCCCCACCCTGTTCAAAATATTCCTGGAAAAAACCCTGAAACCATGGAAAAGAAAGTGCGAAGGAATCGGTATACCAGTTAGGAACGAATATCTATATACGCTAAGTTTTGCTGACGACCAAATAGTGATTGCACAAGACGAGGATGACCTCAGTTTTAGGATGAGAACACTGGAGCAGGAATATACAAAGAATGGGATGGAAATAAACCTAAAGAAAAGTCAATACCTAACGGAGAATACAGAAATAAAACAGCTGGAAATAGACGAAGGTAAACAAATCAAAGGAACAGACAAGTATAAGTATTTAGGTTTCATAATATCAAACAAAGGAACAACGTAGGAAGATATAAAAAATAGACTAGGATAAACAAGAGACTGCATACGAAAATTGAACCCAGTACTATGGGATAAGAACATCAGCATGAAAATAAAGAAAAAAATATATAATACCATGACAAGAAGTATCCTCACTTATGGGTGTGAAAATTGGACAATCAATAAGAAAACCAAAAACAAAATAAGAGCAACAGAGATGGAATTCCTAAGGATAAGCTGCAGAGTAACAAAAAGAGATAGAATAAATAACATGAAGATTAAGACGAGAATGGGAATGAACTCCGACATAATAGACTACATCGAACAGAAGAGGTTAACCTGGTACGGACATGTCAAAAGAGCAGACCAAAATCGGTGGATAAATAGAATAACAGAGTGGAGCCCGATAAAAAGAAGAAAGAGAGGCAGACCCCGAAGATCTTTCAGAGATGAAGTGGAAGAAGCAATGAGAAGAAGAAACCTACAGGAAGGGGACTGGCTAAACAGGAAAAATTGGAGAAAACGGTTGAGCGAAGGAATACAGTGAAAACTGTGGAAATCCTTGTTATATAAAGTAGACATATATTTGAATTAGAAAAATATAATGAAGTATTTAAATAGTTATTTATGGAAAACATTTAAAATGAGAATTATACATCAATACTTGTTTATAGTCGAAAATGAAAAACTCTAAACGAATCACGCTATATAAAAATCTCACGAAGTATGTTAGTGATCCATAAACGAAATAGAAATATCACCGAATCTGTTTCTCTAAAAACACGTTTTGTAAAACTTTGGTTTTCCACAATAAACAATATTTACATAAAAATAAAAAATTAATATATGTTTATTTAAACCACGCGATATTTTTGGTTGATGATTTATATGTTTATACTGTGTGGTCAAAATTGTTGATTGTGATGAATCAGAAAGATAGGTCAACTTTGTTTTGAGGGGCGAGACTCATAATTTTAGATGGAAAGGGGTATCAAGTAGCACATCATTCTAAAGGGATTTTTTTTTATTATATTATATAATGGCTTTGGCTTAGCCAATTAGCCAGACTATTTGTGGGAAGTTAGTTTATCTTTTTTTGTTTACAATAAATTTAGTGACATATTATTACATTCTAAATATTAATTATGTTAACAACTATTTTTCTCTTAAATTTAAATATTATTTTTTGTTTATTTATTTTTAATTTTTTTCTCTATTTATATGGGATTTTTTAATCATTTTTTAAATGACTTTTTTTTTCTTATTTTTATGCGATATATTTTTTTTACTCTAATTCTGTGTTTTTGTTTTTATTATTTATTTCTGTGTGTTTCTTTATAGTTTTTTATTTATTTTTTATAGTTTTCTTTTTTTTTTATTAAAGCTAGTTTAATTTTTTAATGTTATCTAAAATAATTTATTAATTTTTTTGTTTAATCGTGACAAAATATCTAATATTCCCTACATACAGTATGTCTTTTTGCTGATTTTAATATTTTATAAATATACAGTAAAATTACCAGTAACACCTAGTACTATTTGGTGTAGTAGCCATAGTTTGATCAACATAGCCTAAACAGTTAAACTCAACCTGTATAAGGCATTCAATAAGGCATTTCCTTTAACGACAATTAATTCAAAACATCACAAACCCTGGACTACCAAGGGCATCCGCATATCAGCTAAGAATATGCGTTTACTACTGTACATCAAGAAATATACTACTAATCTCTTTGTCACTGAATATATCTCCAAGTACCGAGGAACCTATTTAAAACTTCAAACTATCAAAACAGCTAAAAAATGTATTATCAGAATCGTTTGGGAAGCTCTAAAAATGTTGCAAGGGAAACTTGGTTCATAATAAACGATCTTCGAAATAAAACTAATACAGCACACACATCTTCTCTTCCAAACCCTAAAAATCTAAATGAATACTTCGTTAATGTGAGTAAAAATATAACATCAGCTATTTTTCCACAACAAGATCCTATTTTCTATCTTCCCAATTCAAAAAAGGTCTTGAACTCATTCTTTATAAAACCGGTGGATAAATATAAACTAATCTGAACAATCAGTAATATCAAAAGCAAATCTTCCTGTAGTACTGATGGACTATCCATAAAAATTTTCTTAAATCTCACAAATAATGGGTTGGGAGTCATTTGAAAAAGTTATAATTCCAGAGTGCCTAAAGACAGTCATTATTGTGCCTTTTCATAACGGTGGTGATAAATCTAATGCCTGCAACTATAGACCTATTGTCTTACTACCTATCCCATCCAAAATTATTGAGAGACTTATAAAATCCCGAGTTATGTCCTTTCTCGTTGAAAACAACATTTTATCACAATGTCTAGGTGAGGTCTATCAAGCACTAAACAATAATCTTTATAATGCCACTGTTTTTGTGACTATGCCAAAGCTTTTGATTGTGTAAATCATGAAATTTTGACAAAAAAACTAAATTTCTACGAAATTCGAGGTATTTCTTTGAATTGGTTCCAATCTTACTTGAGGAATAGGAAACAACTAGTTCAAGCATATAATATTGACTCTAGTCACACGAGCATTATAAGTGGAGTACCATAAGGTTCAGTACTGGATCCTCTACTTTTCCGTATCTTTATAAATGGCATCATTAACTTAAAAATCGATGAAAATTTTTTTCTTTTTGCTGATAATACCAGTATTACCTTTTCCGCAGACAGAAGTCCACAATATATCAGATCTTTGTTTTGAGGCTAATCTTGGAAAAGACTAGTGAATTTAATATAGACACATATAATCTTTTCATTGACTTTGAAAGTGCCTATGATAGCATCCATCGAGAGTTTTTGATCCATGCACTGAGAGAGTTTAATATTCCAACTCAACTCATTGATATAGTAAAAGAAACACTTAGAAACAGCAAAATTCTAATTCAAAACGAACTAACAGATACAATCCATGTGAGAACAGGCCTACGACAGGGAAATGCCCTATCCTGTAATCT